ATAGATTGTTTTGAACAGTCTTTCATAGGGAAGAAAAATCACTAAAACATGTAAGTACTTAAGATTGGAGCTTGTGAGAAGTACAGTGATTTAATAATGATAGTGTTTGTCCATGTTCAGATGTAAATTTAAGCTAAATATGCAGTTAGTTACAAGGTGGTGTACCGGAGATGTTGCAGTAACTGATTTCAGAGTGTTTCTGTATTAAAAAACACTTAACAGAAACACTGAGATTTCTTTAGGAAACAGCATCTGTACCTGGCATGGGGAATGTGGCACAAGCATTCAGTCCTCTGTAAGTTGATTCACCCGTTGAGGTGGTTTTAAATTACCTGAACAGGCAGGATCTAATTTTTTTAATCCTGTTGTAAAAATATTGGACAGAGTAATAATTGAATGAATAAAAATGAACACATAATTTTAATCTCATGGTTGTCTTTATGGATCTTATTTCAGATAATGTAGTTGGGCTGTTCATAGTAGGAGTTGTGGCTTTCTTCTTGTTACATAAAACGATTGCTTGAAAAATACCATGTGAAATCTCTGATAGGGCTGCCTATGAATGCCCAGGCAGCTTCACTCCTCCGTCATAGGGAGGACCATTGCTAACATCTGTAAATCATCAGTAAGAAGCATCCTTGCCTGTTCATAGCAATGCAAGTTCTAATCAAAGAAATACTTTCTGATTGCCCACATGAGCATTAGAACTTTTGTTTTTTTAAAAATAGTGCTGATGGCAGTTCTGCTGCTTATAGTGAGTTTCTGCATGGATGATCCTAGAGCTTGCACAAATGCAGGGCTTGCTGAAGATGGTGGGACCTTCTGGGTAGGTCATGAGAACAGTCTCTGAACACCTTCCCCAGTGACCTTGCTGTGGTCACTTTCAGCTTTGGGATGGAACTGCAACATTTGCAGTCAGCAAATTTGGAGCATGAGGCTGAGAAGATGCTGCATTTACCTCTCATGCTCCTGCCACTTGCCAGCTGCAATTTTGAAGTTACATAAGTATCATAGAATGGTTAAGGTTGGAAAGGACCTTAAGATCATCTAGTTCTAACCCCCCTGATAAATAAATACAATGCATGATAGCAGGAGGTAGCCATTTGCAGTTTGGAAAGCAGGTTGTGATGTTGTAACAATGACTTCTTTTTTTCTGAAAGCTTAATTATGGCTTTTCTGAATATATTAAGCATGTGCTTTGCTTCCATTTTTATATCTTAGTGCTCTGCCTCTGAAACAACTTAAGGACTTGACATGTTTTATGCCATGTCTGTTTCAAAACCTGAGAAATCACACCAGCTCTTGGCTGGTGGTAAGGTGAGCTAGAATTAAGCTTGTTCCTGACTTACCATGCCAAGAAAATTGAAAAGAGAGTATGAACAGTTGAATATCACCTAGGAAGTTTTGCTTTAAGAGGAGAGATCGCAGATATGGTTCTGCACAGAACACTTGAAATGACAGGATGCAGAAAAAAAATCAGAAGATTAACAGCAAATAAGTATTTTAGAAAAAAAGATTCTAGTGATAATATCCCTCTTAATTTCCAGCTTGTGGTGTTTTGTGGATGTGGCTTAATTACTTCTCACACATTGTTGACACGTAAATACTTCACTGGACTGGGAACAATTTTATTGCAGATTCTCTGCAGTATTTCCTTGCCTCTTCTGTAAAGGATGAACTGTCCTGGTGCATTTTGGTGTAATTTGAAATTCTTTCAAGGTAATTTTGGCCAGCAAGGTTCTCACATTTTCCCCTCTCGTGCATGTGAGTCACTTGGTTCTCTGGTTTTACATCACAAGACTAATTGGGGTTTTCAGTCTGAAATTATTAAGTAGTAGTGTGTGGTGTTCTTTCACTTAGGGCTGTTGAAAGGGTACAAACCACTCCTATCTATACGAAAATAAACCCAAACTTGAAGAGGAGGATGTGTTTAGTAACTTCCCTTGTCCTGCAAGTAGTAAATTTTTTTTTTATGTAATGTTTCCACATGAAATTCAGACAAGGTCTCAGCTTGTAAAAGGAGCAGGGCTTGTGTGCTTTGGATGCTTTGCGATGCAGAGGTACTGTGGCTTTACACCTTCACTGGGCTTCAGGGGTTGTCTCTGCTTGAGAATTACAACTCTCAGCAGAGCATCTGGGTCAGTCCTGTCTGCCCACTCTGTTGCCCTTGTGAAGTGTTTGCTAGTCAAAAGTCATGGCACTGCACCAGTAAGTCTAGCAGGTGGTTGCTGCTTATGTACATTGTCTCTTTACTCTGGCCAGAAATGTTTCAGATGTAAGTAATTCACAGCTGCTTTCCCAGGGTTTCCTACCTATAAACCTACTTTCTAAAACCCTCCGACTTTTTCCTTCATGCAGCCTTCACTGGTAGCCCCTCTAGTTTTTTCCCCATAGCTGGGATTAATTTGGCAATGAGTAACAGCATGTTCTCACCTGGTGATTGACCTCTAAACTTACAAAAACTGTAGGATTTCCTCAATACATTACAGAATAGTGTTGGTTTCTCCCCCCTCCTTCTATCTTGAACAGCAGTCTCTAAAATCTAACTTGCTCAGAGAACAAGGCAAAGAACAACATCACCCTGGGCTTTTCCCTAGTATTCAATTTGTCCTACTGAAACACAGAAGGAGGAGTTGTCTAACAAGTGTAGTGTTACGAGGCCTTTTCCTTGCTTACACAGGAAGATAGGAAGCTATGATGAAATCCTGGGTTAGCAGGGCACAGAGCAGCATGAGAAGTGTTTCACGTAAGTTTAGTGTGAGATGCAGCATGGGGAACAAGGGGAGCCATTCCAAAGGGAAAGCTGTGGCACGTTGAGGGGAAAGGGATGGGTCAAATGGCCAGAATGTGTTCCTTTTCCATGTGTGTTCCCTTTGAGTGGACAACAGAGGTAATTCAGCATTAAAACCTGAAAATCTTTGGCTGTTAGAGCTGAGGACTGCACTATGTGCTGTCCTGTTCAGTAGGTAACCTTGGTAAAAAGCAGATCAGTAGTGAAAGACACGCTATTCAAATTCTGTGGGGAATGAACACCCTATCAGTCAAGCTCAGCTATGCAGGTCATGCTCTCCCCTAACTATCAGAAAGGAGGTTCAGAAAGAAGCAAAAACAATGTTTAAAACTGAAGATTGCTAGGTGAAAGATGATGGTCTGTATTCTTGTGTGTTAGCAGATTATTGTTGGTCTGCCTAATCCTTTTAGTAGAGGCAGAGGCTGAATTGGTACAACAGGTTCAACCTCAGACTGTGGTTCTCATGCATTATGGATGGGCTGGTTGCTTTTGATGAAAAAAGGCTTGTGAGATCTGGTCAATGTGGAGGGTCACCTAGCAGTATGCCGTGATCATTTGAGTTGAACTCTAGCCTATTTCTGAAGATTAACTATTTCTGAGATATTCCTTATAGGATCCCTTTAGCCTAAGAGCATGGAGGGATTGGATGCAGTCCACACCATTGCTTCCTACAGCTCCCGACAGTCATGGGCCTGAAAACTGCAGTCTGCCCCATCTACAACACCTGGGAGGAAGGACTAATCCCAGGAGAACCTAGATGCAGAGCAATACACCATGTAATAGCATGGCTGAATCAGCTTGGGAGAGACACCCTCAAAGCTGAACAGTGACTACCTAACCTTAACACACTTGTGTGATTCAGTGTAAAAGAATACCAAACATCTGTAATGAACAGCAACCAAGGTAGGAGAAGGGAACCAAGGACATGGAATTTCTCTGGCTTGTCTGTGAGAATGTGGGAGCCTGAAATGCCTGTTGAAATGGGAATGCAGGTCTGTCTCACCTTCTCCCTTTTCCTCCCAGCACATCCAGAAAGGTCTCCCCTTCGGCCAGGTGGTGGGTGGATATATATGGAGCATTGCTGCACCTCATCCTGGCTTTCCAGGGCAAAATGGAAAGGTCTGCGGTATCCCACTTGCTGCAGACAAGTTTACCTGAGTCTACTCTGCAAGACTGCAGAGTGAGGGAACCTTTGCTATGCAACAACCTCATATGTGTGGAGGTAGTGTCCTGTCAGCACTGGGGAATGAAGAGCTGGCATCTAATCATCATTTTTTAACCTTCATCCCGGTTAACAAAATTTAAAAGGACTGCTTTTGAGATTAACAGAAAGTTAATGTAAGCTGATGAGTTTGTTGCTGTTACCATTGGAAACGGAAAATGTGCTGTCCTGGAAAACGTGTGGAAGCAGTAAACTCGCTTGATTCTGCACTGTTAGCTCGGGACAGTAGAGTGCGCTGCTCCTACAGCGGAGTGGAAGGCACCACCCAGGCTGCTACGGACGGGGTTTCTGGGATCCCAGTAAACTCCGATTCATTTGCACAAAACTTAGTCCTTCAGTAGGTTCAGCTTTAAGACTACATTTATACAGCAATCATCACAGGCATGACTGCAGCCTTTGGGAAGCGTGCCACGTACATGCACTCATCAGCACACGTAGCTAGCCAGCCTGTGAAGACAGAGGCTGTGCAAGCTGTGCAAACCCAGCGGGGGCTGCACAAGTGTGTCTGCTATGGCCTGCACCGGCGGCAGGGCAATGCCCCCGCTGCTGATGAGCACCTACTTGTGCTGCAGGCAGCGCTGCAGTTATAGCACAGGCACATCCTGAGAGTGGTCAGGGCCAGTGGTCGTTATGTCTGGTGTGGCCTTGATTTGTAGGAAATAGTTTAAAATGTTTTCTGTGGGCACAGAAAACAAAATGCCAGGTAACTTGTCCTTTTACTTGTGTTAGAGCATCCATCTTCTCTTATTTTGTAAGTTAGCCTTTTCCATACAGGGCCAGGTGAGAGGAAAATAAGGAAATACCACGTTTGCAAGACACTCAGGTCAGTGCAATGTTATAGACAAAAACCTGCAATACTGGAAGAAAACCTGTGCTGTTGTGTTGCATGTGGAAGAGGCCCTAAGCGGCAGATTGCTTGGCTCTTTGAAGCCAGTGTTGGTACACCAAATGGTTGCTTTTGCACATTAGCAGGGAGATTGTCTGCCCTTATATTACTTTGTACATATTTTTATTTGACTTTTCAGATTTGCACTTTATATTCACATGAAAGGATTGGCAGTCACTTTATGAAATATTACAAGAAACAGCTTTAATCAGGGTTGGAATAAATTTCGTGATCTGCAAGTCCATATTTCAACCACTAGAAGGAACAAGAAGTGTTATTTTTCAGCGTTGGGGTATTTTCTGATAAGTTTTGTTTTGTAGCCACTTCAGAGAGGCAACAGGTTATAACTACTTATCCTGTTAGCAGACCCTAGCACTTTCCAGTGTTGTGGTGGTGTTCTGAGTCCCACTGTCTGGCCTTTTCACTTCAAGATAGTTGTGGTGGTCACTGAAAGATGTAGCTCCCATGCCTGGTGGCACTGTTTGGAAAGCAGCAGCACAGCAAAGCCTTCAGGTACTGTTGGGAGACACACACAGAGGAGTGAGGCTGTGGACACAGATGAATAGCTCTGGTTATCCAAGGGCAGATGAAGCTCCAGTGTGGAGGATTTGGACCCTTCAAAAGAGTTTGGAATGTGGCAGTGATTTGTGCTGTAGTAACTGATTCTGAAATTTTGGATCCCTTTTCTTTCAGACTGGTGGCTGCTCAATTGAAACCTGTTGAAAAAATATCAGTTTCCAAAGCTACAGCCCAACTCCAGCATGCCCTGCTCTACTGCTGGCATCTGCTCCAGAGCCATGCCACCTGTGTTTGGCTTGGCAGGTGACTCTCCTTCCTTCTCTTACGGGCTCATGCTTAGACCAGGAGACTGCAAACCCTGCCTGTTCCCTAGTTCTTGTCCCGGAATTTATGGGTCTGAGGTCTTGAAGGACAAGCTATGAATTGTTTGTTCCACAAAGCATGGCGACCTCTCTAGGTGAGTATGCAGGGCTTGGTATTCTTACCAAATTCAGTTTACATGCATCATCTTAGATCTGGATTGACAATCCAGACTGGTCCAGCAAGTACGTAGCCCTGGAGGCTGGCTGCAGAGTGACCTGGAAAGGCTGAGAATGATATACAGTGTATTTGTGTAGTTTTAAAAGAATACATACGTGCTGCACATTAAGTCCTAATGTATTAACATATAAACTAAAGGTAAAGTTACACTGTCCATGCGGGCCAAAGCCAGATGTCCTAAATCCCTTAAAAACATCAGATCAGGAGTGCTTTGCAATGGCTCTTTTTCTCCTGAACACCTACCCTTCCTCTTCCTGCTTGAGCTGCGCTGTCCTCTGCAGGGGCTGCCAGGTAGCATGTTGGTAGGAGAGCATGCTGCCACCAAACAGTGCACATACACCTGAGGAGGAATAAAAGTACCGCATGGTCTGTACCAAAGCCTGCTTTGCGGAGCATTTTTTTGTCCATCTTTAGCAGAAGTCACAGCTGATCAGACTTAGGCTGAATACTTTCATACAGCACCTTCTAGCTGAACCTTCCTTGAATTTCAAGCTTGGTGTCAAAGAAGCCCTCAGGCAGTTTGGTAACTGAGAGGCTGAGACAAGAGAATTTAAAGCCTCATGAGCTGCAGTGAGGCGATGTATCAAAGCTAGACAGAAACACAATCTAGTGCTAGATGCAGCTGTGCACTTAGGAAGCAGCACAAGCCAGAATTGCATCATGTTCATTTCTAGCAAGTTCACAAGTTGAACTGCTTATGAAAGGCCAAGTAAAAATTTATGTGGCTACTTAAACTGGCCAAGTAGGGGTACTGCCATGGCTCATATCAGTACATGTGCTAAGGTCCACTCAACTGGGTGCAGTAGGAGCAAAGCACCCTCAGGTGACTGTCCTGGGGTGTTCTTTGCTCTTCTTAGACCTGTTAGAGGAGGATAGAACCTCAAAAGTGTAAGACCAAACCCACATGCCTCTGCTTCCCTGCCCCTTGCTCTGGCGTCTGAGAAGATGCCTGGCTGGCTGGGACAGATGGGAGACAGCAGAACTGACTTCATGTGAATGTTATCGCATATAAGATGAATTTTCTGTTCTAGACATTTTGAGCTGAAGTGCTGTGACTCTGGTCCTATAAAAAGTCAGGAACAGCATATAAAAATTATATTTACATACCAAACTCTTTTGTTTACTCCAGCTAGTCTGATCTCAAGTCATTGAAACCATGCTGCAGAACAGATTTGAGAAGAGAACTAAATTAAAGCTGAGCACCTGTCAGGCTAGTTAGGTTTGATGCTGGCTGGGTAAGTCTATGAAGTGTGTAAATTGGCTGTTTTTAAAATGGTCTGAAGTTCAGAGCATAGTGCCCATGAGGGAGGTGAGCCTTTCACTTAATCTTACCTGTTCCAGTTGATGAGCCAGGGTCCTTACTGCTAGTCTTTTGAAATGAGAAGGGTGTCTTACCCTGGGGCTAACTGCTACTGGACAGAACTCTGCAGCATATTCACTGCCATTAATCTCATACCTGTTTGAGAGAAGGAATCAACAGATCAAAAAGAAATTAGGGCTTTGCTGATGGGCGTTTTGGTCATTCAATAGCTACTTGCCCGTCCACAGTGATGTTCCATCTTGGGCTGCTGTTGGAGTCTAGAGACCCAGTTACCCAGCAGTTTTCCAAGTATAACTCAGTGTCGGGGCTCTTGTCTTTCAGCTCCACTTCGAGAAACACAGGCTCCACATGTTGCTTGAGTATTGTCATGTTTGGCTCATAGAATTCCATGAAAGATTCATCTTGAGAAAGTGTCAGGGGATTTTGTTGTTGTTTAATTTTATTTAAATTAAAACATGTTTGGAAATTTTCTGCATTTCCAAAGGAGGCTTACCTTTGGACACTCTTGAAACTACATTCAGGGCTTGTCTTATCCTTCTGTGTACTGCAGAAAAGGAAATGTTAGTGGGGTTCTTTAGTAGATCTTAAGGTCCTTTCCAACCCTAATGATTCTATGATTCTATAAAGCAGGGCATGAGAACTTACAACTGAGAAAGTCACAGAAGTTTAAAAATGGAGGAAAAGAATTGCCTACCTGCAACATTTGATCTTGGTATCATTGTACCAGAGCCAAAGGGAGGTGATGTGGATGGATCACTAGCAAAGGCACCTAGCACTATGGTCTCTTTTGCTCGATAGTAGCACAGGACTGTTAGTCTGTTAATAGGAGAAAGAGTAATTTTTGTGTTTGCTTTTTCTTCCCAGCTGCAGTACCAAAGTGAGCAGTGTCAGCAGTAGCTCCTACCTGTAGTCTGGATCTCTTGTGATTGTTGGTATGCTCTGTTCTGGGAGAGTCTCTTTCTCATAAGAGATTTCGTTTTCATAAATAATATGATCACCTTCAAACTGTACATATGGGAAGTGTGTTAAAAACTGGATCGTGTTGGGAGCTAAAACAGGAGAACAAAACAGAAAATGCAGGAGAGACAGAAACTTCCAGCAGATGTATCTGCTCCAGCCATGGGCTTACCCTTGCTGAAGTGCCACAAGTAGTGACGTGGAACTTGAAGAAGGCATGTCGTTCATCATGCTCTCTAGGCTTGCAAGAGCTATCCCTTAGTTTGGTTTTACTCATATCAATGGCAGGAACTGTCTTCATTTGAGCAGATACCATTATGGTACCATCTGGGTGGCATACTGAGATAATCGGGGGGGTGGTTATAAACTCAGTGAAAGAATCACAGATCATTTTATTGATCGATTAGTTGTATAACTTACCTATAAACTCTGAAGAATTGAAACTGCATCTAATGGAGAACATCTGTAAGGTGTCCATAGTTCTCACTTTCTTTAGGTCAACATCAAACCTTGCTTTAATTTTCTGAAAGGACACTTCCTGTGAAGGAGGTGATGGAAGAAGTCTCCTGTTAAGGCATGTGATTCGTATGTACAAAGTTCTGCTTCTTGTGCCACTTGAATACTGAGAAGTCACAGGAGTTAAGTCACTGTGAAGACTTGAGCCTGACATAACATGGGGGCAGAAGTTTTCTTGTATGAAATAATTGGTCACTGTCACAGGGATAAATTTTGGCTGATTGTTATAGAACAGTGCAGATGCTTATTACAGCACCAATTTTCCCCTGCCATGTCTTAACATTTCTGCAGAACATTCCTTTAAAAGAACTTCTTTCATAAAAGCTATATTGAAATATTGTTTCTGGCTCGGTGCAGATGGGACATTTTGCCTCATCTTACTAAAAATACTGAGGAGTTAGTCTGTTTTTGAAGACTCCGTGCATATCATTTAGAGACAACTTAGCACTGCAGATTGCATAATGCATGGCACTATCAGAAGGGTCTGTGTCTGATATCTCTTGTCCTACTTGCACTGGCTTGGAGTCCTTCCCTCTGGAGGTTTTCCAGTACCTGGAATACCACAGCGCCACAAACTGTGGCTGTAGGACTGTGGCTGTATGAGCAAACAGCCCTATGAGCTTTAAAGAAGGCATTGCTATATGGATTGTGTACCTCGTAGATAACTCCTGCAGCAAACAGAGGTATTTGCAAGATCAGGTGTGTAGAATTGGTAACTGCGAGATACCCGTTGGTAAGTGCAACATGCCGGTTCAGGAGCTTATTACCAAGATACAGGTTCCAGTACTGTTGCAAGCCAAAAGTAGGAATGGCTAGATACATGTTTTCTTCATCACAGTAACCAACTGCTTCTGGTAATTCTGTGGGAAGAAGGAGGGATAAAGAGGTAGCAGTGAAGGAATGTCTGAGTGATGATTTGGCCAAGTCAGGGAATTCTGTCATGGGCAAAATTTGAACTGGCACTTCAGCAGTGCTGTTATGTGCATGCTGGCATCGTCTGCAGGGCTTTGGCTGTGTTTTGAGTGTAGCAGCTCACAATCAGTGTGATCAGGAGCCCTCATGCTTTAGCAGTGGCCTGCCAGATGGCTTCCAGGACCACTCCCTGTTTTAGTAAGGCAAGCTGAACTATGTATGTAAGCGTATTTTTTAGGTCAACCTTCTTTGGGCTGAACCCAGAGACATTTCAAACATAAAATAGGACAGTGAGGAAACTGTCACCTTCATGGCATCCAAAATCGAAGAGGTTTGAGAAAATACCAGTCAGACCTCCCAACTGTTTCAATAACCTGCTAAGTACAGCTCTTAGTGTCTCCTTGCACAAATATATCTTTGGAGTTCACAGCAATTTATTTGAGTCAGTTGAGTTTTGCCCTGGACACATATGCAGAATTGCGTTTGAGGACAAACTGAAACTCGTAGCAATGTCTGAAAGCTTTGGCAGTAGGTGTATGTTCAAATTATGAGGCATCTTGTTCACTGAGTTTGCAAGCCAGCTTCTTCTGTACACTAGTATTTATTGCTCTTAGTGTCTCGAGGGCAGACACTCTTGCCAGTATGCAGGAGGGCTGCCATCAGAAAAGCAGCAAGTGGCTATGTTACCAGTGATGATCTATTGAAGGGTGGGGTTTTCTCAAAAGCTCTCATCCTTAGCCTAATGGGGGTTTCACTGAATTCAGTGAAAACCTGATTCATGCAGTTGATGTAAACTGGTTAATATCAAGGAAAAGCTTACCAATACCAGCAATCACACACTCCACCTCTGCTGAGTGATAATAGAGTGTCATCTCCAGACCCACACTTAGAGTGTAGTTGATGAGGAGGGTGTATTTTGTTTCATTTCTGTTCACATACTGAAAGAGAGAAATGCAATGCTGCAGTAGCAGTGCCTTCCAGCACAGACAGGCATATATATCCTGAGCAGTACTAAATAATTATTCCAACACACTCCTCTCCCCTGCAAATAGTTCAGTCTCTAAAGACATCGCTTCAGTTGGCCTAAAACTATTCAGAAATTTGGACTGGATTCAACAGCTCTTTCAGCCAAACATAAATGTAGAGAATGTAGTGCCTGTTCATAAAATGGAGGCAGAAGTGAACGCAGTGGTGTTTCCTGTGTAGCCCACTGGTGAAAGAGCTCGTAGAGAGAGATCTGGGTCCAAATCCTTATTCTTCTTTTCTCAGAATGTAGACTGAACCCAGGAGAATAAATAATTGGTAAAACAGAAGGTGTGAGGTAAGATCACACTCTATCTGATGCTGTAAGAGATCCCTCATCCCTCATCCCTCTTTCTACCCTCATTTAACTCACTAAAAGTGCTCCCAAGGCAAAACCTGCTGTTCAAGCTGAAAGAAATCCTTCTGAAATCTTTTGGCTTCCTTTGATCCCTAATGCAATTTAACTGTAGTTTGAATGCAGCCTGAAAGCTATTTGAGCAAATCCTGATCCTGTGTTCACAATGTTGTTCCTTGTAACAGAAAATAGCATTGCATGATTCAGTTGAAACAGTGGTAGAGGGCTTCCTCCCACTGAAACAAGAGGCTGAATTCCCCTTGTGAGTTTATACTTTTTACAAATATTGAGATTACAAATGGTCTGAAGCTTAATAAACTTACGTTTAGAATACCCTGAGCCTGCCTCTACATGTTTGCATGGTGTATGGCCTGTGTTCAAATGACTCTGCATAAACTGTAGGTTCAGGAATTACTGGATGTTGGTAACTGGTGTTTGCAGGACTGCAATAATTAATTATTTTATTTCCAGGGCAGTTCTGTATCACGAAACAGCATTTAATAGAATTTTTTCAAGCTTCTTCCTGCTGGGCACGCACTCGGACATTAGCCATGCTGACAGACACTAGAGGAAGTCATACCTCATATCATCTAATTACACTTGATGCTGCATGTCTCCCAGAGACCTACAGAGAGCTAGGTGGGGACATACAAGCCTCTAACATTAATTCAGATGAGCTTGGATGCATTGACACTGTTATGATCAAGTAAGAGTTGTTGGTTAATAAAAGACAGACTATATTCTGAAAAGGGGCTGCCCTACCTCCTCCACTCAGCTGCTGAAGTGACCTGCTGTATCTTACCTCCTTTAGAACATGTGGATCATCAAAAGAGACTTCCAGGATAAATCCTTTCGTTCTATTAGAAAAGGGAGTTTCATAAATTTTAAACCCTTGGTGCTGTGCTTCCCTCAGGGTAAATGGCACATTTCCTATTACAATTGCCACTAGAGAGACATCGGGAAGAAAGTGTCCAAATGCAACATTAAATAGCCTTTCCTCTGGCAGAGTGTCTGTAGGGAGAGAACATCGAATTACTGCTGATGAGGATCGAGTAACGAAGACGGTTGGGGCGCCCTCCCATTCAGGTTCCAGGAAACTTAGCCAACAGTCATCTCTTTAATGGCTTTGATTAATGAGTGTTTGTGTTCTAGTCAGATCGGAAATACTCAGAGTACATGAGAATTGCTTCAAGCTGCAGGAGATTAACAACAAATACATACAACTTTATAGAAAGTGGGTTCAGTAACTTTCTAGAGGTGCACTATGATGTGCAGTGGCTTTCCTGTAAAGAAATCTAGAATCTAGTTCAGCCACACAAAATATGGAGAAACTGTCATAATGTATGTGAAGAGGTTCCTTTTCCGTTCTATGTCAGTTGTCCAGACAGCTCCAAACAGGTTTAGTGTCTTAGTGCATTCGAAAATACCATAAAAAAATTACTGCACCACTGAATGGCACAATGATTTCTGTATGCTCCCAAGATAACGAATGTAGCCAGTCTGGGGGAGAAAATGCCATCAACGAAGGCTGTCCTCAGACAGTTGCTCTCCCGAGTGTGATTTACTGCACACCACATCTTTATTCCAGGGTTCCAGTGCTCCCTGGAAAAATCTGGTTTTTAGTGTGAAAGGAATGTTTATGTTCTTATCAGCAACTTAAAATTTCCATCTCATCCCATAATGACATCTGAGTAATGGTACATCCATTAACACTAAATGTTTGGGGTTTTTGATAACACCTTGAACCTTGACTTCGGCTAGCAAATTAGAAGTGGGAGTTGAGAACATTTTGGTGAATGTAAGTGTGTGGCAGAGGTCGAATGGAATAATGTATAACACAGCAAGAGCAAGAGAGCGGTAAAAGCCAGTAAGAAGAATGACTTACTGTTGATAACAGTTGGTATTTGTGGCATGAAAGGCGTGGTGATGGATTTGATGACTGTATACTTTGTGGTTTGCCAATCTGCATCTGTCCATGTGTGCTCCAAAAACAAGTCAATACTGTAAATGATTCCATATACACCACCAGATATGGAGCTCTAGGAGGTAAAATTTGCATTTAAGTCTTAATTTGCAATAGGTAAGTAGAAGAATGACAGAATATGGTTAAAATTCTTACTTTACAAAGAGAATATGGTATTCTAATACAGTTTGGGATGGATTTTGATAGGGGAGCTTGTTTGATTGTTTCTTTGCTTGGTCCATTTGTCTGGTCCATGTTTGGCTCAGATACTGCTGAGATTCTCAATAAGGAAGTACCCGGTTGAGGGGGGTGTCCTCATTGTTTAGTAAGCAACCATACTTGCATTTATATTTTTACAATTCCTGTATTACCAGTCATGTCTCTCATTCTGTCCTAGGTCACTCTAAAAGTTTGTTGGAGCTTCCAACATTTCTTCAGACTAAGCCTGTCTGGTGTCTACACATAGGGATCAAAGTGTCCATTGATACACAAAAATGTGGATTTCTGAAGGGGGTAAGTCAAAATCACAGCAATGTCACCTTCACAAATGGAACTGGTAAAGAGCCATGTGATAATACTGCTAGCTTCTTTCTAAATGCTGAGGCTCAGGTTGAATGAGAAACCTGATCTAGTGAAAGATATTCCTGCCCATGGCAAGAGACTTTGGCTAGATCTTTAAAGGTGACTTCCAACTCAAGCCATTCTATTCTGTTCTGTTCTGTTCTGGAATATATTATTTCCAAAGCAGCTGCACCTAAACTACATGCTGGGGACCTGTCTCATGCTAATTCATCCTGTCTGAATGGAAATTATCTGGGAAACTACTCATTGGCCCAGGCCAGAAACTTACCAGGACTAGTTTCGTAATGTAGCAACACAAACAATTGAACTCCAGTGCTAAGGAATCCCTTCACTCTTAATTTACTAGTATAGTTTATAAACAAAGACAGTCTCTTGCTTCTGTCATGTTTTGTAATCATAGATACTTAGTGTCTGATTAATACTTAGTGTCTGCTCCTGATGCAGAGGAGTACCTAGGTCTTCAAAGATTTCTTGTATCTAAGAATTTTAAGCAGCAGCCAATCACTATTTGGAATTATCATGATTTAGGAACATCTTTGAGTGCAGGCCCTCAAATGTATTTATACTAACCTTTAGCTTTCCTCCTTCTGCTCCAATAGGGATGGTTACTCTGATGAGCGTCTCGTTGTGCTCCAGTAAGTAGTTTTTCTCCTCTGGGTTTACTATGACTTGGTCATCAACTCCCATTAAAATGTTTTTAGACAGAAAGGTGGATTCTTGAACCACTAATGTGGGGATAACACTTGGCACAGTCCATGTTAGCGCAGTGTCAGTGAAACTGATGCCATCTGTTGAGTTAGATAGTCCCAGAAGTCTGTGTAGTTACCAGTCAGTCTTCAGTCTGCAATGGCTGTCTTTCCCTGACTGCTTTCTACCAGGGTACCTTTACAACTTTCACTGATGAAACACCTTGTAGGATAGTAGCCAGCCAATGGCTATCTTGTCACAGAAACCCTGGTGCTCAAAGTAGACTGGAAACAGAATCACCAGTTTCAGGTGACTAATTAATTTATTCAGAAGAACAGACAGTCAAGCTCCCAAATGCCTGCTCTGTTGTCCTTCTGGTCCCAGGCATTTTGCCTTGCTGGCAAAAGGAATGGGGCACAGAACCACTTGTTTGGACCTTCTTATGGCTTTAAGGTCATGATAACTTAAAACCTTCTGCCTCCTCATCAGTTGTTCACATTAATACTGTTCTGTGAGAGACAGAAGGTGCAGCCACCACTGTTCTGCAAAAAGCCAGGCTAGTTCTGCCTCTCCAGCAGAAAGGACTACGTGAGTCCCAAGGATGCAGAGCTGCATCCCCCGCATGGAGTTTTTTGACAGGAGAGGCTCCCTGGCCCTTCTGCAGCAATTTTACTTGACTCCATTTCCCTGCATCTAGCATGGGGGCTTGAGAAATTGGACACACTGCATTGGGAACACAAGTAATGTGGCATCACAGCAGGGAATGTGTTTGTCCAGGGCTAAAGCCATGGACTCTTAGCTCATGTTGCTCTGAGGGCAGCTTGTAAACCTCTTCTCTTACCGAGTAGGTCACAGGGAAAGGGGAAGGCTGTTTTTTACTAGCTCCTTAGGTGGTTATTTTTAGTGAACAAGGAAGAAAGCCTTACCAACAGGACAGGAGACAGTGGTGTCAATCAGCAAAAGCAGCCACCGCTGCCTGTACATGGAAGTGGAAGTGACCATGTTCATATTGACACCACTAACCTGTTGGGACGCAAGCAGAAGAAAAGAACATGTTCCAGAGCAGCAGTGGGAACAGTACAGCTTTGTGTCCCACTGAGGGCAACAACTCACCACGCTGATGTCAGACTCATTGCTGTGATAGGGCGCACGGAGGTACACTCGCGACAGCGTGTTATTAAAGCTGTAGCCCAGTTTTGCTGCATCGCTTACCATTATTCTCTTTCTCCCTGACGGAGAAACAAACATCAGTTGCCATAGCTGGTATGCAACATTTTGAGTCTGCAAGAGAGAGATGAGCTGCATCAGATCGAAGTCTACCAAAGCCTCTTAAAAACTCTGATATTGTAGCACCTACTTTCCTGTTAGAAGGTGGAGTAACTGGAATGACACTGGGCACTGCTACTTCACCCCAGGCAAGAAATACCCTTAATTTATATTAAGATAAGGAATTCTATAGTTCTTTAAGGCATCTTTAGAGATAGTCTTTTAGAGGCCCTGGAAGGAAGTTAGATTGGTGGTCTTGAACACATTCCCTTGGACAAAATGCCTGTGCTGTTAATAAAATGGTTGCCTTCACGTCTCTTGATTGCTGGAGCAGTCTGAAGGCTAAATGACAGACTGCCTTTTACAGCATGTATCCATAGTGTGTCGAAAATAGGAAGAGAGGGATGACTGTACTGGTCTGGAACAGAGGATCCTGAAATGATCACCATATGAGATGATAGTCAAAAGGGAAAATGGGCATATTGAGCAAGTAAGACATGAGAAAAATAAGACAAGTGTATATATTCCCCCCTAATACTTTCCAGCCTCAAATAAAACTCAGTGACTCCTGTCTGTAGCTTCTTTGTATTTTGCATGTCTTATTGAATATTTCTCAGTCAACTTTTCCAGACTCTTCTTGAGATCAAGCAAGCTTTTAGCAGCCACAACATCTTTTGGCAAGGACTTTTGACAGATTCACTACCCACCGTGTGAAGAACCACATACCTTTATTTGTCTTGAACTCAGTTTCTACTAATGTAACAAGCATATGGCTCTGTTCTCCCACCTAAATGTCTTTTTGCAGTCTAGATCTCTAAGAAAACTTGAGAGGTTTTTCAGTACTTGATGGCATCTTTACCATCTCACTTTTTTTTGACAGAGATGGAGCTATGCCCCAGGAATGACTCATGAGACTAGTGAGAAGAGGCAGGCTAGGAACTGTGAGGAAAGTTCTCCCTTCCATACCTCTGGCAGCGCCGACATCCATGCTACAGTGTAGTCATTTGAAACTGCAGGGACATCAGTCTTCACTGACACCTGGGAGGACAGAGCAGATTCTTTGGGAACAAACCAATCTTCATTATTGCAGTCTTGGGGAGCAGAGAGAGGGCTTTCAGATTTCTCCTCCAGTGTCTGTTGGGATTTAGCAATTCACTGGAGGTTATGAAAGTGTTCCCAAAGAGGTTCTTGATGGTTGTAATTTCCGTGGCTTTAAAATTAAAGCCATGGCGTTTATGGTGGTGCATGTACAACAGAAGGAATATGTTATGTATAACTGGCTAAATAAAAATCCTTTTTTCCTATTTGCTAAGAAATAGATCCCACTCTGGATACTTTCAGTGACATCTGGGTCTCTCCACTGGAAGTATAAGGAAGCAGGGTTCCTTGGCTTCAACATGGTTCCCTCTTCCCGTGCAGGCTGAACATCTGAAAATGCAGGATCCCCAGGACCTAAGATAAATTCTATGGTGTAAATCTTGCTAGCATGTGCTGCAAAGGAAGGCGAGTTCTGGACACCGAGGTGGGGTCAGTGTTTGCCTCAGACATCTGTACCATGGTGTGTGTTGTAATCCCCAGATGTGACTGCAAAACCTCAAGTCCTAACAGGATAAAACCAATTTCTTTGTCTTGCCTATAGTAGGTGTGTACAAAAGGCAGTGAAGTCTCTTTGGTTCAGTGCCTTATTTCTACATTGGTGTGTAGATACTGGTAACAGGCTGGGCTGCCAGATGGTACCACCCAGTGGGAGGCATGGTCTGTCTCACAGTGATGTTATGTGGGTTGTGTGATGCAGCAGGGGTGCAGCCCTGCAAACTCTAGGTTTTATTAATTCATACAGATGAGTGACATTCTCACAGATGCTTCAGCACTTCATAATGTAAAGGTGCTCTTGTGAGTTAAATAGATTGGCCTGGCTGGCTGCTGATTTGCTTGCAGTGGCCTGACTTACATCATCTGTACAGTTAACTGAATTTCACTGCATCCAAAATACCTGTGACATGTAAATGTGTTACTAATAAGCATCTACAGTTACACCCTCTCCTGAATATCAGCACGTTGCTATTATGCCTGGTACATAGTGTAAAATCAGCTTCTGATAGGAATTTGTGGAGTTTGTTTTGCCTGGCAGGGAGCTTGGATGTAGTTTTGCCTTTGGTGGGAAAGCTTTTACCTCCATGTAGTTTTCTTCACACATGATTTCTCTTGAAGCCCAGGAGGAATAGGAGCAGTACATAGGGTAGGTGTAGGTCACAGCTGCCCTCATGCTCAGAAATGAGGAGACCTTGATGTTCACAGTCAGTGAAAACAGCTCATCTGCCTGGGAAGGAAAACAGGCGATTCAGCAGGTAGCGTAGAAGGTCCCAGGAGCAGCTGCACGGCACTATCTAGCCCAGTGTCCTGTTTCTGAGAGTGTTTTGTAGTGATGGAAAGAGTTTGAGAGCTGCAGTGACAGCTCCTCCAGCATACCATCCTGTATGAAGTGGTTTGTGCGCATGGGCTTTCTGAGCCAGATATTGCCTCAGTACTTACAGCCTTAGCCTCAGAGCACATCTCAGCACTATTCTTGCCACAGTATTAGGGAGCAGCTAGTCAGGGGAACTGACCTACCTCACCATGTGGCTCATGTTCCTTTCATTCATGACTGCTGTGTGCCTCTGCATGAGCGAAAGTACTGGAGCTTTTATTTTGGTGTAGGTAGCTCAGATCTCTCTTAGACTCTTAAATGTTTAGAGTCTAGCTCTAAAGTGACTAGCTTAGATATGAGCTCCTTTTGGTCCTTCAGCTCTCCAGGAGCCACACATGAAGCCATGTTCTGTGCTTCTGTCTGACATGGATGTGCATTTTCATGCAGAAGAAGGGAAAGCCTTTCCAGAGAAATTTCCAGTCTGGAAATCCTGGTCATTTGACAGCACACTGTACACCCCCTGTTCTTGTTAGCATAACCTTTGCCCATAAAATTTTACCTTATTTTGTCTGAGGGGCTTCCAGGACCAGCCAGACTAAACATGGGTAAGCAATGAAGTTTCTACCCTGATATGTTCTGTTTCTAGGTTCATTTCATCTCAACTAACACTTCGAAATTGGAAATCCAGGCTACACTTTTACACGTATTTTAGGAAGGGGTGAATCACCTTCCAGAGAAGCCTGTTTCTCTCCACTGACTATTGTGGAAGCATAAACAACTAGTTTAGATTAGACATTATCTTTCAGATGGTTAAAGTGAGACAAATCTGGTCTAATAGATGTGTGTGATCTACATTCCTAGGCATGTGTTAACAGGCACATTACCACACAAATTAAGCCAGGAAATGATCTGCCAGAATCACACTGCAAATGTTGCTTTTTCAAGCAATGCCTACTTCTTTCCAGAGAGGCTTTCAAGAAACTCTCTGGCAAATCAGCAGCTACAAGGATATGCTTGAGAACTGGCAGCTAGTCAGCAGCATTAAGCTAAGTGTCATTTCATGGAGAGAGGAAATCCCATGTCAGTCACACTGAACAAACCTCATACTGGAGAGCCTTTGCCTATTCATTTCTACACACCATCAATACTAACTCCTTGAGTTCACTATTTCATGAGTTCTCAAAACATGCCAATAGAATGCCATATAATATCTCTATGTTGTCTTTTTTGGAGAGGATGTACTGTCTGAGTTGTTTTCAAGCCCATCTCTGGGTCTTACCTCATTGGCCACGTGGCAGCCAAGCACCGATGCACGGAAGACGGGGTTGCCCCACACGTCTTCTGACAGGACATAGCCACAGCGAGATGCTAGTTTCTCGTCCAGCAGAAGGGGGCCAGCATAAGGATCTACAGAAAAAAGGAATGATGCATGGGATGGAACGCTCAGGGCTTTTAAAGCACAGGGCAGAGTAGCATTGAGACCACCTTACGAAGCTCTCCTCTGAAAAGAGGTCCAGCTGGGTTGGGTGTTCTCCAGCTGCATATGCAGCTGGTGAAGCTATTCTGTGTTAGGGTGCATGAGACAGTTTAGCATGTCTCAAGCTCACACACATTATGTTCACTTTAACGCCCATTTCTTTGTGTCCAGAAGCTTGTGCCACAGTCACTGTGAAGTACTGTTACAGAGAGTTTTTCTGAGGCATCACACTCATTACTCCCTCCCTGTCCTTGCTCTCTAGAAATAAGTCATGGGCTATTGAGCCCATACATTTCTAAAAATCCTCAAATTGTGGTAATCTGCTGCTCATTCTTGTCAAAGGATGCAGTCACGCACCTATTTTGGATGGGCATTTCTGCAAATTGTTCAGGTTTGCTGCTCATCTCTGCTTGGCAAGGCACTTCATGCTCTTAAACCTAACTGAGAGAGCCAAGTAAGAAGCATCATGGGGTCTGGCTGCTCTCAGCTCTTGATGCTGGTAGAGTTAATAACATCATATTTTGTTAATTATCTGCCCTCTGATTAAGGAACTATTTTAGTCTTGGGTTAGACACAAGAATCTGTACAAGTAGAGTTTTAACTAGCTGTCATTGCAATTTCTAGATTTGTCTGTTATCGTTGTATGTTGAACACTACTAATAACTGCTGCTTCAATACATGTGGTCTTGCAGCCAGGGTAGACTAAGCAGATAACTGAGGAGAATTTTGGAAGAAGAGGGAATAGCTTTTATGAGACCAACTGATAGATCTGTAAGAAACAAACAACCTTATTGTGCCTGAAGACAGGTCTGGTTTTTCCAGCAATATCAGTTGCTCTCATAAATGCTATCACTTCCCCCCACACCCTTGCTGTACTTCACTTTTTCAGTTCTGCCTCCAAATCAACTGAAAAAACCCAAAACCCATGAAAAAAATGGACTGATCTCAACAGAAAGAAATCTGGTTTGAGGTGAAATCACATACTTTTTTCAATCTGATGTGAACATTTTCTGGTTTTCATTTTGTTAAGTAGATTTTTCTTTCCTCAGCAAAATGGAAACCCTTTGTTCAATCTGAATAAAGGGTATTTAACTGCCATTGTGGTGGTAAATACAAAGGAAATGAAAATAAAAGAATCTCTTAATTGCTTAATCACTCAGCAGTCACTGATACTGTGTTTTCTAGGTATTAACCAGTTTACACTGGTGGTGTTATTTGTGCTGTCCAGGACACATGCAAGCTGCAATATCACCTTTGTTTTCCTTGCTAGACATGTGTAAGGGCTCAGCAGAGATAAAAATGAAAGCCAAATGACATTTCTTCCTCCTCAGACCATATTTTCTCCTTTCCCCAGTAAGTTAGTTGTAAGGGGCAAAGGAGACTGTGGCTGTAGATGCAGGCTTTACTCATCTATATGGATATTGACCAAATTGAGTGCAAGAGGCCAGATTTAGGTAGTAAGAATATCTGCAAGTTCTTTGGGGTGGGTTACCAATTATCGTGTAGGTGGCAGCAGCATCCAGATCACAGATTTTCAGGTCAGTTAGGTGATTTCCCAGCCTTCATGGTCTTCAGGGCAGCCATTTGTGACTCACCATTAATTTCAAGCTGGAAGAACTTTCCCTGGAGCAAGAGTTTATTCAGTTTCATCCAAAAAATCCTAGAGCGGCAACTACTCTCTACAAAACCTGGTGGGAACACAAACAGAGCAGATCAGCCAGTGGGACCAGAGGGCAGAGAAGAAGCACGTCTTGTTACAAGCAAAATAACCAAGTTTTCATCCTTACTTCACTATATTTTTGTCATGTTTTCACCAACCTGGGGGAGCCATCTGCCTCCCTTGTCCCAGCCAGATCAGTAAGAAAAGCAGCCATATCCTGCAGTGTAAGTACATGAACAAATGATGAGGTGAATGGAGAAAAAATTATCAGGATGGAAAATGAATGAGGCAGCACCCGAAGTCCCATTACCTGCACATAGAGTAACCTACAGCCTCCATCTGTCCCCAGAGACCTGTGCACGGGCAGCAAAGTCTTCCTCCCTCTGAGGTAAAGCTGACCCAGCTGTGTAGAGGGAACCTTGTCAGACCCAGGAGGAAAAGGTATAGCTGACCTTTTACGACAGAGATTGTGCTCTCTTCCCCAAACCTTGTCTGTGAATCAGGAGAGGTCAGTAGCTTCTTTCGTGGAGGGCTGAATCCTGCAGTGCCCTTCAATGTTATCTGAGCTCTGGCAGGGGGAGGCAGCCTATGTCTACCTGGGAGGACAGAGCACCCTTTTGGCAGGTATTTACAAGGTCAAATGCTGCTGCTAAGCCTAATTTTAATGAGTGCAGCATAGGGTGCTCCATGCTTTCCATCAACCCCAGGAAGAAACCTTATTCCTTACAAGCCAGTTGGGTAGCTTTGGCTTCAGGTCTTAAGAGCACATGAAACATTCCCCCTGAGGTACTTTAATTGGGTCTACAGAGGAAATACATTTTTGTTTCTGTGAAATGTCCCAGTGACCCAGCCATGCCAGAGATAACAGCAGTTCTTTGGCAGCTGCATGTTTTGCTTTTATGGATCCAGTTAGGTTGCCCTTTGATTTGTTTGATTATCTGAGAGTGTTTTGGGGAAAACATCTTGTTTTTAGAAGTGCTCTGATATCTCTGGATCAGTCAGACCATGTGCTGGTCGGTAAATGGCCAAACATATTGTCTGGGAAGAGAGTCATTGCACCTGAGCGGAGCTCTGGGACTGCCAGTGCCCAGAGAAGAAGAAAGTCTGAGAGGTTTGGTAAGCTAAAAACACAGCTTGTGTGGTGTAGATGAGCTGAGTTATGGTGGAATGAGAAGTACAGGACATTTAGGTTGATGTTTTAGCCATTGAAACTCAGGGTTTATTCTCCTCTTTGTCCCCATTTTGCTGCGTTACTGAACCATTCTTAACTTACTTTGGTTCACATGCATGAGCAGAACAGTGCTGTACAAATGAGATTGTTTTTACAGCATACTTCATACTGCTTTGGGATAGAAGAAACCATTGAGCACGTACACTCCCAGGACACAGTGCAATCAGTGTAATCTCCTCCTCTGTCCCCCTCTGTCACAGAACCTCTGCAGAAAACAGCAGAACCCACACCACTGTCCTGCCAGATACGCTCACTTTATACAAGTGTCAAGCTTGTGTGAGTGCTCTGGAGTGGAGCCCCAGGGCTTTAGCAATCTCCTAATTAATGTCCTTTGGCCACAAGACCCTTCTCATTCAGCAGGAGCTGAGGTCCAAGTTCTGCAACAAACGTCTTATGAGCCCACGCAGGACTTGCTGCATGATCCTGGCCTGTGTTAACTCTGTGTCCCCGTACCCAAAGTGACTCTTCATTGAATCCAGCTGGGGCTGGAATTCGGCTTGAAATGGCAATACTCCAATACCACAGTGATGAGTGTGGTGTAACAATGAGATTTTGGATTTTGAGTGAAAACTTCAGTATATTTGGATAGAAAATGGTTCCAATTTTGATAAGACACTTCCAAGAGCCATGTAGCATCTCTCCGAGATACTGAGAGTCAAGGTCTGAGAGAGCCATATTTGAGAGAGCGTGATTGCAATTTATTAATGAACAGCCAACCATCAGGACAGGTACATGACTGCAATTAGCTGCATTCTTTGCACAAGTAGGGAGGGATGAATTTACGTATTTTTGGACAACTCAATGCATCGCTGTTACTCTGTTTCTGGAATTAATTGTGGTTCTAAATGTGGCAGAAATTACTTTGGATGTGACATAGCAATTGTGGTCAGTGTGCAGTAGCCAGCTCTTAGCCTGTCAACTGAGCAAAGCGAAGCAGGTCCAGGTCAAATGCTTTTGGCTTTCAAGGATCGCTTAAGTGATGTGGAAAGCACTGTTAGCATTGGGCAGTTGGAAGCATCTGCTGCTTGTGGTCCCTAAAGTCCCTCTGGTACTCATTATAAAGGTAGGGAGGATAAACTTGTGCATTCCAGGTTATTACATTTGTCTACATGGTTTTCCTTGCTGTTTTGGCTGCATAAGAGAGCCCATCTTAATGTTCTTGTAGGGTGATAAACAGCTGCTGTGTTTCGATGCTGAGGTGATTCATTCTGTGATGGATAAGATGATTCATGGCATGGGTTCTTTTGGGCTGAAAGGTACCGTATGACTGTAATGCTTTGGTTTCTGTTTTTTTCCTGCATGGGTCTGAAACTGGATTTTGTATTACATGGTTTGATTGAAAGTTTAAAACTGGCCACTTGGAGCAGCTGAGTGAGGCTTGCTTTAAGTGGTGGAAAAAAGGCTCCAGCCCTTTGAGTCATGGTGTTTGTCTTTCTGTTGTCCTATGGCACTGAAATCCCCAGGTTACCTGAATCCTACAGAAAAAAGACACTCATATTTCTGTCCCAAGTCTTTTAATTATAACTTTATTTTTTTTCTGGCTGGTTCAAATGCAAGGAAGTATTTTTTTGTTTTTCACTAGGTCCCCTGTGATGATCTTAGGTAAGTTTGATACTTAATCTGAGTGTAGAACAAAGTAAAATAGTACCTGTTATTTGGTAAAACCAAAACTAGTGAACAATGGGGAAGGAAACAGAAATCTTTGCTTATATAGAGTTGGGAAGAGCCAAGATAAGGGAACCCTGCCCTCCTTGCTCTCTTGCAGCTGCAGGATTGGCAAATCTGAAATACAGATAAAAATATTGGTATGTCAATATTTGTAAACCTAAAGTGGCTGCCCAAGAAGGTGACCTAAGATGTAACACCCAACTGGACAGAATCACTAGGGAAACTTCAAAACTGAGATGCTAGAGGAGATGCTTCTCCATGGAAGTGCTATGCCTTAGAGTAAGCTGAGAATGAGACATTCAGGTCATGGGTCCAGTGTATGAGAAATGGGAATGATGTTGATCTTCGTCTCTGAGAAACATTTTCTCAGGGTGTGTGCCTGTGAGAGACAGAGAGGTACAAGACGTACCTCCACCAGCACTCCTGTTCTGGAAGGGGCTTGGTCACCTTGGCATGAACATGTACCTGAGCTCTGCTCTCTCCTGCATGTGCCAGGAGCTTGTAGGTGCATTCAAGGGGCTTCTAAATCCCCAGGGAAAAGTAGCATACGAGGGTAGTTCTGGTTTAACGTAATACAATGCTACAAGATAACCTCACTGATGCAAGTAAAATACTTCAGAGGGCTGAAGCCTCACTTGTGTGCAGATGGTCCAGAGGAAAATATGCCCTGTAAGGAACAACTGTAGAATTATAAGCTGAAAGAGGCAATTTGTTTCTATCCCCATGAGCTAATAGTTGATTTGTGCCCTGGACCGTGAGGGTTTACATTTCTCATTTGTTATTCTAAAATTATTACTATTATTATTATTTTTATATGTATAATGTGTGTTTAGAAAGTGTCTCTGTGTTTATGCCATTTTTGTCTTTAAAATACTCCACACGGAAATTCATATGAATTCCAAAAAGCAACACTTGCTATAACTGCATGCCACTAAATTGTTAAAGTGGTGGAAAAAACACAAATAAGCAGACCTGTATAATGATGGGCTTTTAATTATTTTTTTTTTAACGTGCTATTGGTGTTAATTTTTGTGTGCCTGTTATGTTTGTGTTCACTGTAACTGAACAATAGGACTTTGTTTTTGTTCTTTGTGTAAATTAAAAACATCTGTTCTCTTCATACAAAAAGTTGTTTTTTAAAAGAAGCTGGTCTGATCTAACTAAATACCAATGCTGTGTCCACAATGAGTTACTATTAATATTTGGGAAAGGCAACCATCCAAAGCAAGTGTAATGTCAAATCACTGGCAGGAGTGCGTATTTATTGCTTGAAGTGACAGATAAAAATGCAGAGGTTACAAAAACAAAATTCCTGTGGATGACTAATGATGCATATATATGCCCCCAATGCCCCATCACCACATTTACAGTTGGCAGGGTGTTCTCCACTGCCTCCTGCTCCCCAGGATTAATCAATAAGGAACTGGTAGCTTGGCACCCTCCCTGGAGGAGCAATGCTGCTCCCACCTTCCCTACAGCAGACCCTGCATGGAGTGACCTTCAGGGCATGCTGGAATTTGATCCCTCTATTTAATTTGTCTGACTTTTCCCCCACCTCGCTCTGGTATTTGACTGCATGGGTTGATTTCCCACCAAAGGCATGTATATTTTCTTTCCATGCAAGTGGAAGAGGTAGAGCATCCGTTGCATGTTTCTGTAGTGCCCGTGATGCTGGCACAATGGTGGTCTTCAGAATTGTCTACAAAGTTCTGATATGAAGGAGGTTCCAGACCAAGACATGAATCTGTCATCTTTCTTGAGAGGAGCAGCCCTGCTTTCAGCAGTAGTCTTGCTAAAGCAGTTAGAAGTTATTTCAGAGCAAAAAACCCACATTATTTATCATTGAGCATGGGTGGCAGAACTGAGGTCTGAGAGGTTCAGCAATCTGCCTGCCTGGGTGGCTATATGGCTTTGTCACTTATGTACTTGAGGACCTCAGAGATGATGATATTGTCCTCACAGGCAGATGTCTTTTGAAGGAAGTACATCTAATTAACATTTCTTGATGAAAGGCCTGATTCAAGAAAGCATCTCTATTGAGTGCAGCACTTTGTTTATATCTCATTTATTTCATTAAGATTTAAACCCAAGTAAACCCTTTCAGGACCCCAGTTATACCTTTGCTTCTCCCCTTCCTGCTGCTTCTGCTGTCCTGTGCCAAGTGTGGCAAGAACTGAGAGAAAAAAGCTTGTCTGTGTTAAAGAATCAGGTATTTTGTTGGTATGCTTATTGTAGTCAGAGCCACAACAGCTACCAACCTATTAGCAACATAACTTCTCCCTCTTAAGATGCCCCATCCCAGTGTATTCTTCCTTTCTTCCATTCTCTTGCAGAGGAGCCCTGTGCTTTTTCCTTTCCCGTGGCCTTTTCCTTAACTACCCTTAACACCCATGTTATTCATCTCTATTCTTCCCACATCATCTCCACTCTCCCTGTTCTTTGTACTGCAGTGTGGGTACTGTGGGTACCTGCTTCCAACAGGTACCTGCACCAGTGCTGGCTGCAGCCCAGGTGGTGGGCAGCTGCTTGCCATGGAGGTTGGCTACCATCAGCTGGTTGGGGGTATTTTGCCTTTGTCTCAGACACCAATGGCTGCCTCCAAGATCCAGCTGAGTGCAGAACTTGCTGAGTCACGTTTTCACCACAAAACCACTCATGTGGTTCCTGAGAGTCACACAGTTATAGGCATGGTTTGGCAGGAGAGGAGCAGAGAGCTTTCACCCTGAAGCACATCCAGGAATGCTGGCAAGAAGACACTTTTAATTTCCTATCTCGGGTTACCGCAGCATGGATTAGGACTACAAGAGTTTGAAATCCCTGGCAAGCTAATGCTGTACATCTGTCTAAGATGACGGCCAGCAAGGGCAACCATGGACTTCGGCCCATGACCAGTCTGAAGTGCTTTGTTCCTGGCTGAGCAGCTGTCATTAACAGTGATCTGTGAGGTTTCTTCCCAATTTCACTCGGTGGTTTGCATGGCTGCTCTGTTCTCTGGTGAGATCTCCACACTTGCCTGTTTGGCTGCAGAGGTGATCTGCTGTTCGGCCTCACCGGCTGATTGGTTTTGTTTTGTAGTTGGGGGGCTGTGTGCTGTTTCTATCAGCCTGATGAGCTGCAGCCCCACCCCCATCCCCTAGGGGGATTAAAATCTGTAAAATGGGAACAGCACTTGGTCCCTGGGATGATTATGAGGGAGTAGCACTGAGTGTTCTTAGGG